ATATATATATATATATATATATATATATATATATATATATGAAATCAAATTTAAAAGGATTTGCAAGATGTGCTAATGTCGAAATATGTCAGGATAATATAACTGAAAAATATACAACGTAAGATTCAGGTTCCTCTTGGTCATTTCCACAGTTGAATCAATATTCAAATAAAACATCGTTACTGATAAGCAGAGCATTCGAGATCAGCTCAATGTGAACAAGGAATGTTTTTCTCATTTTGGAACCACTAAGCCACGAAACTCTTGAAATGCCATCTAAGTCAATCAGTTACATCTCCGTGTTGTTAGAATCATTATCATCATTACTGTTAGTGTTTATTTTTAATTATCTCATTACTATTATTTTCAATGTTAGTGTTTTCGTCGAATGCCAATTATCTAATATTCTATATTTGTAAGTATTGATTTATTACCATATAATCACTGTCAGCGGTACTAACTCGCTTAATACACAATATAAACATTTCTATTTTTCATTACTATCATAACCAAAACAATAATGTATGAAAAAAATAAGTTTATATAGCATTAAGCTGACCCATTCAGGTAAAAATTTGTGATGACCATCATATATGATATAGTTACCCCTAAAAAAATTCAAAGAAAACGAATAATAGATCTTAGTCATAGAGAATGTAATATTCTATAAGAGGGACTCATTCTTTATGGCTTGTCTGCAGCAATAAGCGATACAAGCAATCATACTTAAAATAACATATCTGGTGAATGATGGTGTTAACTTATGGTTTCTGAGTTATTGAAAAACAAAAGCCAGAAGTCAAGTTCTTACTTTTTTTCCGAAAGAGTGGCATACTGTTATTTATCGTCGCTATCTCACCTCAATCTCAAATATAATGCGTAAGGCGCTGGCAAGCACATAACACATAACGCATATGTGGTTGGTTGCTGGGGGTGGTGGAAAGGATTAAGGAAGGGGTAAAATTGTTATGAGGATACTAGCAGTGCTGTGTGTTTGTTAAGTCTATCAATGAAAGTATTGAGTGTATTCAATTCAATGATGTAATGTAAGAGTCAATGTTGGTGTGGTATGTAAGAACTGTTGCCTGTGTTTCGTGTGCTGCATGAAGGTACACGTGTCTGTTAAATGCCAATAAGATTATGATCTTATACATGGTTGTGAGTCTCTTTGTCTTTGTGTCTCGAGCAGATCCATGTGTATCTTTGTTATGTGAATTGTTATACCAGGTATAGTAATAAATTGTATTCCTAGTGTCGATGTACCTCGATGTAAAATCACTAATGTAAATGTAGTTTCAATTTGCCGTTTGGTTGCATTTCACGGTAACAGTTACAAAAAGCGACTTGTTATAAGAGGTGTTATTTCAGCTTTTTTCCTAGCACAATCAGGTTCTGGTGCGCTGCGAACTCCCTCGGGATTTTTTTTTTTTTTTTTTTTAATATGTGTTATTCTAGGAGCATTTCTAATTTTCGACCAGAGTTATACAGGTGTAATTTCAGGAAAAAAACGGTGGGTGTGTGGCCCTCGGGGGGAGGGGGAGCCAGATCTTGAGGGGGCAGACTCGAGGGGAGGGGGCACTAATCCCTTACTTTTACTGACATTCAGTGTTGTACAATGAGAGTGTCAACAATTTTGGCCGATGAGAAGAAGGAAAAATATGCATGAATCCTTTTATATGTTGTTTTAGACATCTTGATAAATAGAACGACATAATTAGTCAGGTTTTATAATCACTCAGCATAGTAATCAAAATTGCAAATATAAACGGATGACCCTTAACACGTCCATTATCCCGAAAATTACCAGTGCGCGCGCGTGTGTGTGTGCAGAGATGGGCAGCATCTCGATACATTTATCGCATATATATATCGATTGATACTTTTGTATCGCTAAGGTGTTTCTTTCAAAATGTATTGAAAAAATCGATAATAAAAAAATAGAGTTTTCAAACTCTATGAAGGCAGCCATATAACAATTAACATGACTTTTCTATCTCTCTAGCTTACTTTGTCGTCAGTGGCACTCAAGAAGTATGAAAGAGGCCGGTGACTACCTCTCCCTTTCCTTTGTCATAAAGGAACGGTTTTTTAATGCTTTTTATTCATGCACCGAGTGCCCTAAACGTACGTCTCATTTGCAAGTGTAATCATTGTTACTGTGATGTAGAAATCATCAGTATTGATGAAATTACTCGATAATCTATATCACATAAAAATATCCACTATGATACTCAAGTTTGAAATACTTTTCTGCTGCAATAAATGTCTACAGTGCACAAAACTCCCATATCAAATATTTACACATCAGTTGGGGTATTTTCATTAAATAAATTATCGGCGATACATGTACTGGTATCGGTATCGCTTTACCTATCTACGAAGAATCAGTGGATCGGAATCACTGTAGATAAATTTCAAGTATCGATGTATCGATATTTTGTGTGTCAATGCCCATCAGTGTGTGTGTGTGTGTGTGTGTGTGTGTGTGTGTGTGTGTGTGTGTGTGTGCGTGCGTGCAACTTGAGTTGTGCAAAATCAAGCAAAGCAAACATTTTTTACTCATACCGCTTCATGCAAGTATTACTGAATAACTAATGTATTTTATCAAATAAAATCACTAAAGGAGATGAGATACTTAAAAAAGAACAAATATCTACTCTTCATGCAATGAATTTCATAATGTGACTATAAATTCCGCGTATATTTTTTCACGAATAACAATAGGAAATACTTGCATGCTACAAATCATTCATAGGTGTTATGAAATTGACATATTTTCATACATTCATTTTTTTTTATTGCTGTGTAAAGTATATTGTCAGTGAGCGTTGAAGGGAGAGTGTAAATCTTGCAAACTGACAAGTCATGGTCTTTTTACAAGGTGGATGCGTTCGTCCCTTCTGGTGTTTGTGGAAAACCTCCGCAGCAGAGGATTTCGTGACCAGAAGATAAACTGCACTTCATAGATCATGCACCGTGGCAAACGCAGTAAGCAACTGTTGAATTATATTGGACAAGGTGAAAATACGTTTTAAATCCATAAATGAATGCTTGAGAACTCACTCCTCGTCGTGATCAATGTGGCGGGAAAGTTTCGAAATCCAACGCTCTTGATTAATGGTATATTCACCAATGGAGGAAAATTCAGATAGAATTGAGTTTCCTTTCGTGTTTATTATTACTGAAATTATCGTCGGCTGATATGCTAGCCTTTGGTTACATACGTGATGTATATTATACTTTGTAATATTTCTTAGAAAAAAATGCAGTTTTTGTGTACTGCAAATTTCTTGGAAACTGTGTGTATATATATACACACACACACACACACACACACACACACACACACACACACACACACACACACATATATATATATATATATATATATATATATATATATATATATATATATATATATATATATATATGTATGTATGTATATATATATAAATATATATATATATATATATATATATATATATATATATATATATATATATATATATATATATATATGTATGTATATATATATATATATATATATATATATATATATATATATATATATATATATATATATATACATATATATATATATATATATATATATATATATATATATATATATATATATATATATATATATGTGTGTGTGTGTGTGTGTGTGTGTGTGTGTGTGTGTATGTGTGTGTGTGTGTGTGTGTGTGTGTGTGTGTGTGTGTGTATGTGTATGTGTTTTTGGTCTGTTTACGCATGTTTGTTTGTTGACGTATATTTGTTTCTTTACACATGTTTTTTTTTTACGTAAATTTGTTTGCGTGTATTTGTTTGTTTGTTTACGTGTGTTTACGTGTGTGTGTGTGTGTGTGTGTGTATGCACATGTGTATGTGTGACATATATATATGAATATAACTAAATATATATGCATATATTTGTATGTATATATATACGCCAAAAGTGTGCATGGGCTGAAGGAAGCTTGAATACCACTGTCCTAGATGATGTAGCAAAATACCTGAAAGCATTAAAAATAATAATTAAAAAATAGTCCCCCCTCCTCCCCAGGGTCATAATCCCACGTTTTTTGTTGTTGTTGTTGTTTTTTCCTAAATTGCACCTTTATAGTTCTGATCGTAGTTTTTAAATGCTCGGAAGTCTGGCTCTAAATGAGGCCTACCCTGGACTAAATACCCCTGGTCCACCTACAAGGTCAACCATTCGTTACTTCAGAGGCCGGTAAAATATCTAGCCAGCCTGAGCGTTCTATGAACGAATATTTTGAAACAAGTGCATCTTGTATATGCATCTAGTGTTAGATTTTTTCCCTTAACTCTTGGTTTTCGTAGTCTGGAAGTATATATATATATATATATATATATATTTTTTTTTTTTTTTTATCGACCTCTATAAGACATATTTATAAGAGCGTCTAGAAAGGGAGTACGTTTGATGGCGAGTGGGGATTCATGTTGCACTGAATCATAATCCGACTGTTTTCACGAAAGCGGAAAAATCATGAAAGATAATTACAGCAAAGACCTTAAAAAATCCGACGTCTGAATAGGGAAGTGAAATACCAATATGAATGGCTATCTTGCTAACTGAGGTTTTCATCAAATCCTTCGCTAAAATCACAGTTTAAACGCAAAACTACCAAAGATTTATTATATCCATACCAAACCGTCTTTTCCCCACCTAATATGGTTAAATTTGGCACACTGTTAAGGCCACTGTTCTAGTTTTTTTTTTTTCATTTTGATACCCAACTTTTCTTCTTCTTTTTTCTTTTCTATTAATCTTGGTTAAAAGTGGCACCTCGTTAAGTCCACTGTTCTATTTTTTTTATTTTTTTCATTTTGATACCCAACTTTTCTTCTTCTTTTTTCTTTTCTTTTAATCTTGGTTAAAAGTAGCTCCTCGTTAAGCTCCCTTCGCAAAATAGACTTCGTCCCCTCGTGTTCGCTGCGCTGTGTTCGCTGCGCCGTGTTGGCTGAGGCGGCGGCGCAGCGACTAGAAGCACGCGAGGGTCGGCGAGAGCGAGGCGGACGAGGCACGAGGACAAGGACAGTCGAGATCAGGGCACGAGAGACGTTTTCTGCGGAGTTTTATCACCATGGCGAACAAGTTGGAGGAAGTGAGTGGTCTGGTGTAGTTCTGTTGGTGATGACGGTGATCGGGTCTGGGGTTTTGGGAGGCGAAGAGAGGGTCGAGGAGCAGCAGAGGGTTTCCTTTCGGGTTTTGTGTGCGATTTTTTTTTTTTTTTTTATTTCTATTTACAACTTTTTTTTTCTATCTTTAGTGTTGTTTTCGGGATTGATAAACGAGCCTAGGTTTTTTTTCCCTCACGTCATTTAAGGGAGTGATAGAACTAGTTTGTATGATATATCATGTACACATGAATATGTATATAAATACTTTTATTTATTCATTTATTTATTTATTCATATGTACATACCTGCTATACATCGCCATAATTTCGATTTTGGTTATGTGATATAGTCTAAACAGCCTATTGCAAGCAGTTGACCATTGGAATTTTACAGTATTCACCTAAGATATTCACAGGTTCAAGGCATTAAAGGTATTCCATCGGTGAAAATTTAAGAAGAAACCCACAGTGCCTTGGAAAAAAACGCTTGTAATGGTGATTGTTCAGGATGGGACCCTAGAGGCATCTCGCTGGTCCTTCTTCCTTCTTTTTTAGGGCCTATATCATGCACTTTCTTGCTGTTTGGTCGGCCGTTTCATTTCCTCGTATCTTTTTATGTGATGGTTGCCACAGTAATGTAAGCTTTTGTCTTTGTTTGTTAGTGTGCATAGCATGCTTGTATTTCAAATGTGTTTATAATTCTTTGGTTTTGAGTTTGATATTCGTTGTAATGCAGATTTTGCATCTGCAAATATTACTTTTCTTGTTAATCTTTTGCTTTGGATGTGGGGGATTCTTTGTTTTATTGCAAGAAGTTCTGCTTTTATTTCTGTATTTTCTGGTAATTTCCATATTGATGTTAAATTTTTGTCTTGAATGTATATTGCGGCAATAGATTTTTTTTCAACCATCTGTGAATATTTTTTTACCAGTCAGATATCTTCTTTTCTATCGTCTAAAATTGTGCCTTTATTATATGTTCAGGGACATTTTTTCTTAGGTCATTCGAGAAATTAGTTTCTATATTTTTAGAAATGGCAAATCATGGTGAAATAGGGGTTATATTACTTTGCATGTTTCTAAGGCTGTCAACGAGGCTTTTGGGGTGTTATATTCTTTCATATTTGCTGCTACTAATCGTTTTATCTGGGTATTCTCTCGTTTTTTTTTATTCTTTTAGTTCATTTTTGATGGGCATCTTATTTGTGAGTGTATAATGCTACTAGTTTTTAAGCAGACTGTTGATATTCTTAGAGCATTATTTTGTAAGGTTTCTAATTTTTCAATTTCTTGTGTTTTTGGCTATACTGAAGAGATACCATATTCTATTTTAGGTTTTATGTAAATTTCATAGAATTATATTATTGTTTCTATTTGCTCCTCATGTTATAGATTTTTTTTTTTTTTTTTTTTTTTTTCATTATGGCGATTCTCTTTGAGCATTTAACCCAATCGGCACAGATGGCAAAAATACAGTGCCATACCCACTGTAATTAACCCAATGCTGTCGGGGAAAATTAATAAAAAATGGGAAAAATGCTGTGCTCATTTTTTGTATTTTTTGTGAAATGTCTCTGCTAGTGCTTAGCCACAAAGGACTCAATTGGTAGACCTTATGACCTTACCCGATTTGAATTGGCGGAAAAAATGTATTTTTTACTAGTGATATGAATAGCGATGGTGTAATTTTTATTATAAACATTATAATTACTATAATGTTATAAACATTAGTAACACTAAAATAAGATAACGTAAAATATTTTCGTAAATCAAAGGAAAGGGTAAACGGGCAAGACAGATAGTATTCGTAAGTGGCTCATTGGTGACTTGTTATAAGTGTAGCCATCTATGTGTAATAACAATCAAACAAGTAAATCACAGTGGGCATGGTATGTACGTACATGTCATCCCCATCAGCATTGGGTTAAAGTTTATGTATTGTCTTTACACATAGATGGCTCTGCATCTGTATTATAAAGAAATACACTTTATCCCGCAAATTCAAGGAATGGGAAATCAGGCGCAGTCACGAGGGCCTACAGGTAGACTGCATGGTGGCTGAGCACAAGTGGAGCCATCTGTATGTAACAAAATTCACAAAAATCTACAAGAGACAGAACATAAACCTTTAGTCATTTGGTTGTTTTTTAATTTATTGATACGGTTAAGCCAGGTTTATTTTGATGTATCAAATTCTAGACCTAGAATTGTGTGGTTGGTTGTGAATCTGAGTTCTTCATTATCTATTCCTGTTATTGGTATTTGTCTTACCCTGTTTTTGTTCCCATTTGTTAGCTTATTCTATTGTTTGTCTTTACCCTATTTCTAGGTTGTCTTAGCTTTTGTCAGGTTTTTATTGATTGTTATTATTGTAATATCTGCATATGTCACTTTGCTTAATTTTTCTGTTAGGGGTAGATCTGTTGTCATAATATTGAATAAAGTTGAGCCTTGTAGGAGGTCCCTTGCTATTTTTCTGTCTGCAGTCTTTTTATTTCCTCTGACCATCAGGATTTGCTTGGTTTGCTATCCTTCTCTACTGAAGTTTTATTTTATTTCTTCTGTGTGAGTTTCATTGATGGGACTACTGTCTCTGTTATTACTGGGAGATGATCACTTCCTGAATTTATCCTTATTTTATTTCTAGATGACTTAGTTCTAGGGTTCCTGTTAGTAGTACCTTTGTTATCAATTTGGGATTTTCTAACTGATGTATATAATGTTATATTTCTTGTTGTTCTATTTTATTACAAGGGATATAAATCAGTAGTAAGGTTTACAATTTTTCTTGTAGCTAATCTTGTTATTTTATCTCTCTTTAAGGTTAATTTTGTTATATTGTATACTATTTTGTATATAAATAATTAAACCCCCTCCCTTTCGTTATGTTCTGTCTTTTCTTACTATCTCATTATTTTGTATTTAAAGATTGTATTTTTTTGTTAGCCAAGTTCTACAGATTGCAAATACCTCTGGATTTTCTTTGTCTATCAAGTATGGATCAATATGGTCAATATGGATCTGGCATTCCGGAGAATTAATTTATTAATTTTTATATTTTATATCCCTTTTAATCAGGGTTGCTTTTGTTAGTGTGTTTGTAATTATTTCAATTATTGACCTCTGATTTTAAGTTTATTGCTATATTTGATATTAGCTTGAATATGCTTTTTGCAATTTCTATCATCTTTTTTTTCTTTCTTTCTTTCTTTCTTTCTTTCTTTCTTTCTTTCTTTTTTTCTTCTGGTGTTGGGGTCTTTTGCACTGGTGTTGGGAGTGTCCATGTTACTGGGGAATTTTTGTGTTCTTTGTTTTCCAAGTTTTGTTTGTATGTCTGTTTTGTTTTCGTTTTTTCATGTTTATTTTTGTTTGGTTTCACTGATGGGTTTGGTGTGTCTGCGTCATTTTTATTTGTGTTGTTCTTTTGTTTTGTAGGTGTTATTTCTATTGGTGTTATGTTGTGTGTTTGGGATAATATTTTAGGGAAAGTTTGTTATGTTTGGATTTATTTGTTGTGCATTGTTAGTATTGTCCTCGAGGTGTCGATTGTTTTCAATGTATGAGTTGTGGATATTGGCTGTGGTTAGTGTAGTATTTTTGTGGTGTGTTCTGTTTTGTTTTGTTTTTTCCCACTATGTCATTTAACCCAATACCTACAGGCATGGCATGTATGTACATGCCATGCCCACTGTGAGTTTACTTTATTAATTGCTTTCACGCATAGATGGCCACACTTGTACTAAGTCACCAGTGAGCCAATTATGAGTACTACCTGTCTCGCCCATTTACCCTTTTCCTTGATTTGCGAAAATATCTTACATTATCTTATTTTGTTGTTACTAATGTTTATAACATTATAGTAATTTTAATGTCTAATATAAATAACACTATCAATATTCATAGCATTAGTAAAAAATACATTTTTCCTGCCAATTCAAGGAAAGGTGAAAGTAGGTAAAGTCACAATATCAACTAATTGACTCCTTTGTGGCTAAGCACCAGCAGAGCCATCTATGTGCAGAGACATTTCACAAAAAATTAAAATGAGCACAGTTTTTTCCCCATTTTTAATTCATGTGGTTAAAGGTCCCTTTTTTATTGTATCATTCACTCCAAATCTTATAGCTTGACCATCTCCAAAGTTTCTTAGGGAATTTTCTGTTGTGTACTTTTTGAAGATTTATTGGTTTAATGCTTCATTTAGTTTTATTGGATAGTTGAAAGTTGAAGTGAGTGATTTGTTTGACAGATGAATAAGTACTACATTATCTTGTCAGGTACCTTGTGCTTCTGATGTGTAGATTAAGGGTTCTTTGGTTTGTCTGCCAGTTTCTTTGTTTCATCTCTGTTTGGAGTATGGGTAATCTTTGCTGTCACTGTTTGTTCATCTGCTGTTTTTCTGATGTTTGTAATTCATTACATTGCTTGTACTGGGCACATCGCCTAGATCTAGTTCAAGGGTTGAGTTCATAAAGCTTTCACTTCACTAAAATTGCCAAGAACTCGTGTTGACTATTCACACTGTGACAGTTTGCAGTCAAATCCAAATATGGTGCTCTGGGTTTCTTTGGCGTTTACCTTTATTAATGTAATTATAATGGCATTGTTTGTTGTGTTAAGAAGACCCGTGTATTTGTCACAGACTTCATGCCTCTGTCTGTTGGTACATCAAAGGCCAACAATATTCCACTCTTACTCTGGGTAGGCTATACTTTGAAATTTATCATCAAAGTACAAAAGTTATTCTCATTATACTTTTTTTTTTTTTTTTTACATTTTAACACATTTCATTTAACATCAAATAAGGAACCAATTCAAATTCAATCAAGTCAGAATATTTGTGGTTGTGGTTTGTGCAGAGGCCATATGCTTATAGTTGTTAGTCAAGGATGATGCACCCACAGTTATTGAAGCACTGGCTGAGGTATCCAAGGTATTTTTTAAATGCCTGTATAAAATCAAGAATCACCATGATCATGGCTGTGGTATATGTAATTTTTTAGAACTTCATGTATTTTATCATCAAACAAAGAGGCAGCCCAATTTTTATTGTCAGAATATATATGGTGAAGATTTCTTGACCTTTACCAAAGCACCAGAAGTATACAGACTACAGTTTGTGCATATGTCACAAACTTTATATATTTAGTAATTTTGTTATTAATGTGTTTGTCAAGTGACATGGTTAATGAAATAAGTCTACAAATTCATTGATCAATTGAGCCTATATACTGTTTACCTAACGGTATCACCTCATATCTTGGAGACCTTTTTCTTTCTTTCTTTCTTTTTTTTTTTCTTTTCTTTTCTTTTCTTTTCTTTCTTTTCGTTTTTGTTTCTTTTCTTTCCTTTCCTTTCCTTTCCTTTTCTTTTTCTTTTCTTTTTTTTGTATTACAGTTTTCCGAAGTCTAGAATTGTCATGCTTTTTCTTTCTTTCTTTCTTTTCCTTTTCATTGAGCATACTCCATGTCATCTCTCAAGGAAGTTTACATTCTATACAATAGCTGTGGTAATAAGCAACATTGTGTTACTTGTGTTTTTTGACAATCTTGTTTTCAATTTTTGGTAACACATCCGGCACCACAGGGTAATGGCAGGCAGGAAGGAGTTCCTTCAGGTAGATATAGTGTCCTCACTGGAGCCAGTGTTCTCTCAGGCATGGCTCACAAATAGCACAGTCTACCCTCATTTACCAATGGAAATATTGCTTTAGCCCCTTCCTGAATACCTAGTGAATCTGTCTGCCACCAAAAGCTTTGTGCACTCATAATGAGGCTTCCTTGCACCTTCAACTCAGCAACAGTTTCTTCACATTCCTTGTCACCCTGGTCCACAGCAAGATGTTCCATAATAGCACAGTCCTGTTACCTACCCTTCAGTCATATTTTTTCATGACAGAACAACTTAATCACCCAGATCCAGTAGGTTAAAATACTTATGGTTTTCTCACATTACTCAACTATGCAGTGCACCCAGACATGCAATACATTGACAGTTGAGATGATATATGAGTTGCAATGGGGAAATTATCTAACCATCCATTTTCTTTGGTCTTATGGCAGACTGGTTATTCCTTACCGCATAATCTGTTCTGCATAATCGCAAAATGTGGCTGTTTTCCTTTTCATCTTTGCACACATTACTGTGTGTATGTGTGTGTATACATACATATATATATATATATAAACATATGTCTGTATATGTCTGTGTGTGTATATAAATATGTAGCTGAAGGTTTATGCTACAACTGGTTTTACATCTTACTAAGTATTTCATGTAGGTTGTAAACTCCAACTGTGATGGCTGCATGCTGCAGGGCAAGTGTCCTTGAGTTGAAGTCACCTGGGAGAGCCAGTAGGCTCTCCAGTTGGAGAAGGACAGTGATTTTCCTTGCTTGTTAGCTCTTTGATGTGATGTCATACCAAATTTTCAGAGCCCAGACTTTGAATGTGCTGGGAGAGTGTTGAAAAATCAGGAATTAGGGGAGCCTGACTGAGCTATCTAATGAGAGAGCTGCTATGTGTCTGACATCAGTGAGTCAGGACTTGGCAGTGAGTCCTTAGGTGTGCCTGCTGATGACCTTTCAGGACATTGCTGCTGGATTTGGTCTGACTCAACCTGGGTCTGTTGCTAAGGATGCATTGTGTGCAGTTTGCCAGCCATTGCTGCCACACATACATATATGTAAGGAACCAGCATCTCATGGGGATTATTCATCATGAATCTCAAAACTTCACTCCTTAGTGCAGACTACCTTAAGTTAGTGGATTCCTCAATGCTACAAAAAAAGTTATTATCCTGAACACAGGTATATTAACCAGTGTCTTGTGAGAACAAAGACCTCTGTGGCTCCTTCTATGAGAAATTCACATCACTTTTCCAGCCAGAACTCCCTCAGAAGCCTGGCCAATCCACTAAACAATGCATCTTTCATCACTCCAAGACAACGGGCCATACATTGCATTGCATGTTCGGTTCTGAGAAAATTGAAGCAGCCAAACTAGCCTTTCTGAGAAATAGTGGATGGCCCTGAGCCAGAGGGCATCAATCCCAGGGACATTGCCTTTACATCTGGTCAAGAAACCTGACAGGACCTCACAAGCTTCTAGTGAATGCTAACATCTCAAACAGCCAACAGTATTGTCAGGCAAACCACAGAACAGTGAGAGTAGAAGGAATGGTGTGCTTCATTGAACTGAGTGGAACGCCCGACTTCTTTAGGTTTTCTCCAAGGAGTGATTCATACTCTGCTAAAATGATCTTCAGTACATAATCATAGATATATACATGCAGATATGACTCCCAGTGTGTGTGTGTGTGTGTGTGTGTGTGTGAGTATAGAAATGTGTGTGTATACATAAATACTAACACTGAATTTTTTGAGAAATGAAGTCAGTCTGAAATTCATATACTATGTGTATCCATTACTTTTTAGGGTTTATTAAACTCAAACACAAGAAATTTCCATTGTAAAAATTGTTGTACTCAAGCAATATTCACTTATTTTTGTAACAGAACCACATTCTTTTTTTTCTTTTTTTTTAATTGGTATCTTTAAGGCAGAGGGCTTGCTAGTAATTTATAAATTTTCTTTTATATAAAAGTGCCTCTGATTAGGTCATGAACTTCAAATGGCTACAGAGCCCAGCAATAACTGTACATAATCAAAAGCCATGTATTTTATCAAACTTAACTTCTTCCAGGTTACCAAGGATGTTGCTGAACTGCGCACACTTCTTGCTTCAGCTACAAGGAAGCGCGTTCAAGACCTCCTTTCATTAGAATTAAAAAGACTGGAGACTGAGGTATGTTTTGGTGCACTAATCCCCAATCCTAACTGTGCATTAGTCTGTGAAGTTGCTTTCTTTTCAGTGGAAAATGTGGGAGTAGGGGTGAGAAGAAATTAAAGATTATCAATTAGGATAGAAAGTAAAATAATTATCAAAATACAGCTTTAAAAGAATATGTATGAATATCATGTTCATATGTAAAGACTGAAGTTACTGGTTCTCTTTCTTTCTCTTTCTCTCTCTCTGTCTCTCTCTCTCTCTCTCTCTCTCTCTCTCTCTCTCTCTCTCTCTGAAAAGGCGGAACTAAATAAGAAATTGAGTTTTCCATTAATATATATGAGGCAAGAGACTGGTACTACTAAAAGCTATGGCATTGGTGCAAGGTTTTATAATAAAGAAATAAAGAAACTACAGAGTAGGCCATTAGACTTGATGAACATCTATACAAAGACACTACATGAACAACAGGGGAAAGACAATTCAACTTCCTATTTTTTCTCACAGTTTGCTTTAAATGTTTAGCTATTTACTTATATGTCAAAATGAACATATTTGGTTTCATTTTGTTCCACAATAAATTGTTGTAGTGCACTATCTTTCCTACTTCTTTATTTTTCAATGTTTTCAATTGAGAGTAACAAGTAACGGTTGTTTCTTCTTTCCCTTTCTTCCTTCCTTCCTTCCTTCCTTCCTTCCTTCCTTCCTTCCTTCCTTCCTTCCTTCCTTCCTTCCTTCCTTCCTTCCTTCCTTCCTTCCTTCCTTCCTTCCTTCCTTCCTTCCTTCCTTCCTTCCTTCCTTCCTTCCTTCCTTCCTTCCTTCCTTCCTTCCTTCCTTCCTTCCTTCCTTCCTTCCTTCCTTCCTTCCTTCCTTCCTTCCTTCCTTCCTTCCTTCCTTCCTTCCTTCCTTCCTTCCTTCCTTCCTTCCTTCCTTCCTTCCTTCCTTCCTTCCTTCCTTCCTTCCTTCCTTCCTTCCTTCCTTCCTTCCTTCCTTCCTTCCTTCCTTCCTTCCTTCCTTCCTTCCTTCCTTCCTTCCTTCCTTCCTTCCTTCCTTCCTTCCTTCCTTCCTTCCTTCCTTCCTTCCTTCCTTCCTTCCTTCCTTCCTTCCTTCCTTCCTTCCTTCCTTCCTTCCTTCCTTCCTTCCTTCCTTCCTTCCTTCCTTCCTTCCTTCCTTCCTTCCTTCCTTCCTTCCTTCCTTCCTTCCTTCCTTCCTTCCTTCCTTCCTTCCTTCCTTCCTTCCTTCCTTCCTTCCTTCCTTCCTTCCTTCCTTCCTTCCTTCCTTCCTTCCTTCCTTCCTTCCTTCCTTCCTTCCTTCCTTCCTTCCTTCCTTCCTTCCTTCCTTCCTTCCTTCCTTCCTTCCTTCCTTCCTTCCTTCCTTCCTTCCTTCCTTCCTTCCTTCCTTCCTTCCTTCCTTCCTTCCTTCCTTCCTTCCTTCCTTCCTTCCTTCCTTCCTTCCTTCCTTCCTTCCTTCCTTCCTTCCTTCCTTCCTTCCTTCCTTCCTTCCTTCCTTCCTTCCTTCCTTCCTTCCTTCCTTCCTTCCTTCCTTCCTTCCTTCCTTCCTTCCTTCCTTCCTTCCTTCCTTCCTTCCTTCCTTCCTTCCTTCCTTCCTTCCTTCCTTCCTTCCTTCCTTCCTTCCTTCCTTCCTTCCTTCCTTCCTTCCTTCCTTCCTTCCTTCCTTCCTTCCTTCCTTCCTTCCTTCCTTCCTTCCTTCCTTCCTTCCTTCCTTCCTTCCTTCCTTCCTTCCTTCCTTCCTTCCTTCCTTCCTTCCTTCCTTCCTTCCTTCCTTCCTTCCTTCCTTCCTTCCTTCCTTCCTTCCTTCCTTCCTTCCTTCCTTCCTTCCTTCCTTCAAGGAAAAAGTGCCTTTTTGTCCTTTCTCCCTCCCATCATTCCTTCTCTCTTCTCTCTCTCTCTCTCTCTGAAAAGGCGGAACTAAATAAGAAATTGAGTTTTCCATTAATATATATGAGGCAAGAGACTGGTACTACTAAAAGCTATGGCATTGGTGCAAGGTTTTATAATAAAGAAATAAAGAAACTACAGAGTAGGCCATTAGACTTGATGAACATCTATACAAAGACACTACATGAACAACAGGGGAAAGACAATTCAACTTCCTATTTTTTCTCACAGTTTGCTTTAAATGTTTAGCTATTTACTTATATGTCAAAATGAACATACTTGGTTTCATTTTGTTCCACAATAAATTGTTGTAGTGCACTATCTTTCCTACTTCTTTATTTTTCAATGTTTTCAATTGAGAGTAACAAGTAATGGTTGTTTCTTCTTTCCCTTCCTTCCTTCCTTCAAGGAAAAAGTGCCTTTTTGTCCTTTCTCCCTCCCATCATTCCTTCTTTCTTATCCTTCCTTCCTTCCTTCCTTCCTTCCTTCTTTCCTGCTTTCCTTCAAGGAAGATGATGCTGTTAACATGTATGTCATGTGTTCAAAATTTGAGTTATTTAAAAAATTATTAAAGACTATTTACATAAATCAAAGTGCACTCTAAAGAAGTTTAAGCAATATTTGATAAGGTTGAATTTCTTGCCTTCTTGTTTTATTTATCTGAATTATTTCCTGTCATATTTTCATTTATTTAAGTGTTTGATCTCTTTCTCTCTTTCTTGTCTTCCTTTTCCTCTCCTCCTCCACCCTGCCTTCTTCTACTCCTCCTCCTCCTCCTCCTCCTCCTCCTCCTCCTCCTCCTCCTCCTCCTCTTCATCCTCATCCTCTGCCCTGCCTCCTTCTCCTCTGCCTTCTCATTCTCTTCCTCCATCCTGCCTTCTTTTACTTCTGCTCCTCTGCCCTGCCTCCTCCTCATTCTCCTCTCCTGCTTTGTCACCTTCTCATTCTCCTCCTCCACCTTGCTGCCTCCTCATTCTTTTTCTTCTGTAGGACCATATGCATGCAATCTTTTATTGAGCCAAAACTTTTACTTCTTTCTTTCTATTCCTACTTATTTTTGATCATTATCGTCATCTGCTTTAGCCAATAGTTTTCCTGCATTCACAGTTGAAGAATCTCGAGGATTCCGCAAACAAATCCGAGACACCCAAAGCCAAGACTGATTTCACTCCAAAGATCTACACTGTCAACATCAGGAACTATTGTAAGTGCTACTTTTATTTTGTCTTATTTTCATTTTTATGTTTTGTGAAAGCCATTCTGTTGTAATCAATCATTTTATGATGATCAACAAAGCATTGCTGATGTTATAATATTATTGATGTGTAATATATGTAATATCTTCTTTCCATACAGCATGGGATCAGTCGGATAAGTTTATGAAGTTATATATAACTCTAAAAAATGTCCATACAATGGAAAAGGACAAAATAACTGTCAAATTCGAGGAGAGGTAAGCAGCACTTTTAAACTTCTTTAATGCAGATTTTGAACAGAGTTCCGTTTGGAAAATGTATAAGTATTCTGATTGAGAATAGATAATTCCACAGGGCAGAACTTATATGAGATTTTATTTTGAAGATATAAAGTAATTCACCTTGTAGTTTTCGTTTGAAAAATTTGTTCATATGAAAATGTGTATGTAGTTCCTGTATTACATCTGGCTCTGATAAAAAAGAAGTAACAGTTGTTGGATTTACCTACCTTGCATAGTATCATGAGAGAAAAGATCAGAATTCAGAATTTAGAGTACATTAATTAAATGCATGTTATTTGTTTCTTAATAAGGTTAGAAAGATACAATTCACACATTCTAAATTGAAGGACTTTCAATTCTTCAGAATAAATAGAATATCCTATGCAATGAACAATACAAAGACCTCGCATGCAGACTGGATTGTGACTGTTACATTACATTGATCAACACATCATAGTGACTGTAATTGTGATCATTTCAGGAGCGTTAACTTACATGTCAGTGAATTAGACAGCAAGAATCACCAGCTCAATATTCTAAAATTGGCTGAGAACATTAAGCCAGATGCCAGCCACCACAAGATCAAAACAGGTATGTCATTACTTCAGAAAAAAGGTTAGGATTATTAATCTGCAATGTTTCAACTCCTAGCCATTAAATAAAATTATATATTTCTCAGGAGCATGTTGCATTATCATGAGATTTGATATTTACCATCAATATTTTCTCGTAGTTTCTTATGGAGAGGACAGATATACATTAATCCCAACTTCCATCCATTTTTGCTTCTAGATATGGTGGTCCTTTTCCTGGCTAAGGAGAAGCAAATAAAGTGGGAAGGAGTAACAGAAGTGGAGGCTCGTTCCGCTGAGGCACGTAAGCCCAAGCTTGATAGTAATGACCCCAACGCCGGAATCATGGACCTCATGAAGCAGATGTATGTGGATGGTGATGACAAAATGAAACAGGTATGTCCCCCCTATTTTTTTCTTCTTCTTTTTCTTTCTTTCTTTCTTTTTCTTCCATCTATCTCCTTTTACTTCTTTCCCAATTTCCTTCTGTCTGTTTGCTCCACTTGATCTTTCCCAATCCCCAGTTGTCAGTTAACCCCTTGGATATGGTTACTTCACAGCAATCACATAGCCCAAAATCTGGCCATTAGGCTTACAAGCCACTTTGTTGGGTGTGCAGCTTGTAGGCTGTGTGCACACAAACATTCCTATACAGTGACCAGGCTATGTTTCCCCTTTGCAGTGTTGTTTTCTCTTTTTATGCTTAAGCATTTTTAGCTTTTATTCCAATTTCCAATGTCAGTATTTGGCATTTGACTTGCATTATCCATATGGTAATGGACTGTATTCTTTGCACAAACTCCACATCATCTCTCTAGGTTCAGTCAGTAACTCAGTGCAAGAATTTTCTGTATTACAACCTGCACTGCTGGTCACAACAACCAGGAATAGAATGTTGAACATGGAAATGGGGTCCTCCATGGAGCCAGCAAGCTTCCAGTCGTGGATCATGGACATTACTTCCCACACTTGTTTATTGATAGAAATAATGCAAAATCCCCTTTCTAAATGCCAAATGAATCTAATCTCTCCATGAGGTTTGTGCACTTGTGTCAAGTCTTTCCCATCATCAGAAATGCTCATGAGGGCAAGGTCGTGTCTCCCATCCGCAGCCAGATTTTCCCACAGTATGTTCACATCACCCACCCCTCAAGCCAATTTTGTTCATGGCTTAATGGTCATCTCATCCTGATCATAGGGTTTAGATTAATTAAATTATCAGAATGCATTTGAGTGCAGTCAGATGTTTGTTCAAGAATAATAAAGGGTGATGAATTATTCTCAACATGGAAAGGAAAAGGATGCTTTACATATTGAGTTAGTCATTCCACAATTTATCTTTTTTTCTTTTCATTCTAACACTTCATGATTCTCTCTGCTGCTCCTATGATTCATGTTCTTTTTATTTTCAAAATGAATACTTGAGAGAAAAATGGAAAGTATTCAGAAATGTAAGTATTGAAAAAGAGCTAGATACAAATTAAATGTTTTTGATGATTTATCAAATTTTTAAATTGAAGTACAATGTTTCATATTTTGTTTTATATTCATACTGCAGGGTATATGCATATTGCAGAACATGTTAATTAACAAAGTAAATTTTTCATTTTATATTGAATATTTTAGTGTGATATATATTTTATGCATATATATATATCCATGTACATTCATAATTCAAGATGTAACTGCCCCTCCATCCAAAGGATTTTTGCCAAACCGGCTATAAATAAAACAACATAGTGAAGAGCAAAGAAATGCACAGGCCTCTTCCCTAAATGGCTTCCTCAGATCCTGTGAAGAAGCAATGTTGTGGAAAAGTCAACATATTATTTTATTTACTATTTGCTTTACGATTCACCCATCTCCCTCGTCTACAGATGCTGAACAAGACTTGGTACGAGAGCCAGCAGAAGAGGATGACTGGGGAAGATGCGATGCCAGACCTCAACCTCTGAAGCACCAGACACCAGCTTTCCTTGAGGGAATAGCAGCAAGGCATTCCACTGGGTAGAGCAAAAAAGCCAGCTGTTCGATGTGGTGGTGTGGTTTGTTCAGCTTCACCATGATCTTCAGTCAGATGTTTTGTTTGTTGATTGGTTTGTCTGCCTGATGAGGTTGGGGAAGAGAGGTTTATGTTGAGTGAAAGATTTGGGTTTCCCCCCCTCCCTCTCCTCTTTTTTTTTTATTCATTTGTTTTTTTTATTATAATTGTTAATGTTACTGTGAGGGAGATTAGCAAAAATTGCTATCTCATATCAACTTTTTTTTATTGAAAATGCTTTGTAGATCAATGATTAGCATTTAGTAGCATTTGCTTTTAGATTTTATTATTGTTAATATAATAAAGGTCTTGTTTTCCTGTTTAAAACTTTATCTTCATTGTTTTTCTTTATCCATTGGTACCATTAAATAAAATACAAATTGTTCAGGGAACTGTGAATGAAAGGAAAATGTCTGTAAACTGTATGAAATACAATGTATTGTAATAATGCACATGTTTCATTAGTTTCTTACTGAGGTTCATTGTCTCAAAAATGTATTAGTTTTAGCAGCATTAGAAGTTTACACTTAGCAGAAAGCAGAAGGTATGAATACTACTGTCAGATTTTAGTGTTTTGAGGGTATCCACAACCATATGATATATGTGTGTATATATTGTTATGACTGGAACTCCTTTTGCAACATTCAGTTTTCTTTATATATTTTTTCCATACACTATTTATTGAAGTACAAGGATTAGCATATAGTTTTATTTCTCGTATCCTAAAATACGGTAATCAGAGAATACTCTGCGATTTTAATACATTGGTGTGGGGAAGCTTGCTCTCTGCTTGTGGGATTCTCATCACATGGTTTTGTTGATTTTCTTAAACCCATTCCCTATGTAAGGGTAAGAGGCTGCACTTCTGCCATCACAATTCCTTCTTTGGGATAGATTGGATATCAGTATCAGTGCCACATTAGTAGCCCAATATCTTACACAGAGAGCATTGATTTGATGAATATATTGTACTTTGTTTTAACCATTGGTGTCCCAACACAAACTTTTAATAAGGCACTCATTTAGTACACCAGTGAATTAAGACAAATGTTTGTTTTACTATTTTATCAGATGTTATATAAATGAATCCTATTAATATGATGTGTGGTTCTAGAATGAGATACTGGTTTAGTGATGATATCATAGTATGGGATGCAATGCATAGATTCAATCTGTATCATTCCTCATTGACAGTTTGAACAATGATGAAAGTTTTTTTTTTCCCCTTTTCTTCCTTCCTTTATTTCTTTCTTTCTTTCTTTTTCTTCTTTAACATAATCCTGAAACTTCAGATGACTTTTTCTGGATTGGATGCAAGATACATGGAACATTGATATAATTTCACCCCCAGTGCAAAAAAAAAAAGAAAAAAAATCTTAATGTGAGGTTCAGCATAATTTTTGAAAATTATTTTCACATTCTTGTGATTTTTCCATCTCAAATGGTTTCATATGTTGAAAACTACATTAATTAGCTCAGAAAATATCATAAGAGAAATGATGAAAGGCTGGCTCTGTGTCAGTCGAGAACAGCCTCCAGCCTTGGTTAATTGGCCGAGGGATAGACTGTTTCCTCCTCTCATTTATTTCAGACTCACAGTGGCCATTTATTATTATTATTATCACTGTTTATTATGATGGCTATACAAGTGACCCGGCAGTAACGGGTTTGCCATCAACTCTATTACGAATCGTTACTCAACCATCAGACTACACCCCTTCCTCTCTCCCGACATCCTCCACTCCATCTCCTACTACACAGTCTCCTTCATTGTCAAACCCCATCCCTATTACTACTATTTATCCTTATTGTCCTTCTCCCAACAGTACTACCTCTCTCCTTACCACCCCGCCTTCCTCCTGCCCTCGTCCTTCTACTGTTTCCATCTCTACTAACCTTTTGCATACCCTTTTTGACCCAGTCAAGTGGGATTAATTCTTTGTGATTCCCCCTACAGCCCAGTATTCTGACAATACCTTTCTGTTCCTACAATGTCTCCATAAACAAACAGGCAAAGTTTCCTTTTGCAGTTGATTTGATCATTCATGCCTTGTCACAGTTACATCTGAGTCCCAAGCTTGTGCACTATCTAGCCTGACTGACTTCACTTGCAAACCTATTCCTGGCCAACCTCACTCCTCCTAATACTTGTATCAGAACTGTTTCCGTCTCCCCCAGCTGTTTGTCCTGTCTATGACAAGGAATGGTGAGACTGAAAACGACTTGCTCACTTGCCCTGTTGACTGTAATGCAGTAGCAGTCCAGTGCTACACTATTTCTCCCAGAGCCCAATGTGAGTCATACACCACTATTGCCAAGATGAGCTTCTACAGACATGACCTCCCTCATGAAGTTTATATTGGTGGTGTGTCCTGCCCTGTCTGACCATATCAACCCCTTCCTTGTCAGTGTCAGAACTGTTGGCTGCCCTGCCATCAAGCTCAAATCTGAGGTACCAGGTCTCATTCAAACTAGGCCTCACTCTATGAGAGGCCAGGCAAGAAGCGCGCTGGTGAGGTTTTTCTCTTTCACCTTTTTTTTCCAAAACTACTTTGCTCCACTCCCCTCCCATCTTTTCAAGAAGTTTCAACATCTCCCCCAGTATCTCTTCCCTCTCCTCCAAACCATCCTTTCTCTACTCCCTTTCTCCTCAAGTCAAATTCCTTTTCTAGTCTAAATCCAGATCCCCAGTGCCTATCCTTCCTCCTCCTCATTCTACTTGTTACACCAGACACTCTAATAATTCCACCCCATCTTCTACCACGTCCTCTCCTACCTTTATTTCTCACACCTCCCACCCTACCCCTCCAGAAACTCTTGAAGACATCCAAAACTTCCTAAGCATGACCCAAGAAAATGTTCCACTGTTTCATCCACCCTCTAATCTTTCTATTCCTATTCACTCTACATTCAGAGTCTTTGCTGATATCCATCCTCCTCCATGTGCATCACCATTCCCTCTTTCTTCCCCATTATCCTTACCACTCCCATCTGGATGCTTACGTGATTCCCTTATGTCACAACAATGTCCTCTTCCAGGTCCCATCCCTGCTGACGTTATTCCCGATATTTCACTACCTTCCCCTGTTCCCTTACCTCATTCTCTGGATTCTTCTAGTTGTACAACTACCATTTCTACCTCTATTACCCTTTGTTTCATAAAGGCTCTTTTGCAGTTTTCCTCATACAGTGTTACTCTTCCTTCCTCAGACACTCTCTCCATTTGATCTGATCGCCCTATACCTTTAACCTTTCTCTTTTACAAATCCCCACCGTATTCCTTTTGCTGCCCCTCTTTACCCTTTCCACTACCACTATCCTACAGCGTTCTACAACCTTTGACATCTATCATCTTATCCTATGCAGTAACTCATTTCCACCCTTTTTGTCACAATACTTTTCAATAGTGCTATATGACCTTTGGTGTGTAGCACATTTATTTTTTCTAACCATTAACCAATACTTGACAAACACAGTAAGGAGTACAGAGAAATGAAAAGGAAAACAATCACAATAAAAAATGAAACTATCGTAATATTTCAAACTTTTCACAAGTTCCTCCTCAGACGAATTTTTACAAGAGTATGTAGTGGTAGAGAGACAAAATAAACGAGAGCTGAATCAGGTCTCAGGAGTGTCAAGGTCAAAGAGGTTGGGGAAGGCTCTACTTAATAACGATGAAATAAGGTCATCCCAGCCCCAATAACCAGCACATAAGTTAAAATAACTAGTATGACCCCCTCTACAATACCTGTTGTCACCTTAGTATAGTCCAGGTTATTACTCAACCTTCAGTTTCCTTCCGTGGCTTGGCCCTCCCGATCGCTCTGTCACATCCGAATCCCAACCGTTATCTACTCTGACTGACATATTGGCAAATGCATTCATGCCCAGGCTCATCCCTTCTTCAATACTTGTTCTGGAACTGTCTCCATTCCCCGGCAGACTGCCCTATCTACGGCAAATACTGGTCCGATTGTGGAGAAGACTTCCTTGCCTGCCCTCGCTGTGTAAATCTTCCGCCAATAATGCAAAAAATAATTTCGTTATGCTTGGATTTCATGACTACGAAAATCTCGCAATTGCCAACAAAAAACGGTGACATGTTTTAAGAGTAGGTTCAGGTGTCCCGAGAAAAAAAGTAGGCAAGAAGTGACAGTGTGCAGTTCTGTTGTGTCCATCTACATCCGGTCAGTGTTAGACTTGGTTTTTAATCCTTTGTTCTTTCTTCTTTGATAGGGTTTTAGCTTATACTGTGGTGTATACTCCTTGATTTAAGCCTTTGTAATAGCTTTGGGTTGCAGCCGTGGAAATTAGTGTAAATAAGATTCATAAATTCGTAGATTATGCTCTCTGAATTTTGTAAAATGTCCAAATGAAAACTCATGACAGTTTCATAAGAAAATCTTGTCGCTCGTCCGGTGTTCTAGAAGTGACTACTTCCGTTGGTGGAAGCGCCTAGTTTGTGGTATGTGTGCATGGTAATTGCGTTAATTATTTGTGTGTGTGTAAACCAGTTCTCAACCTGTGCGTCGCAACAAAAAAATGTCGGGATTACTGATCAAATGTGTCGCTTAATATTTTGCAGAAGTGTGTCTCTTGCCTTTCAAATTAGCTTTTCAAATCACCTTTAATTAGAAAACATTAAGAACATATACTGTAGGTTAACCTAGCCTAAAGTTTACCATTTCCCATTACAGGAGTTTAGTTTCACGGGAATACAATAACTACATTTATGTAAAATACAATTTTATGTTAGCTTTTCTGTAAAATGTCACGAGTTTTCATTTGGACACACACACGCACACACACACACGCGCGCACATACACACACACACACACACACACACACACACACACACACACGCGCGCGCGCGCGCGCGCATGTGTGTGTGTGTGTGTGTGAGTATATCAACATTGTTTCGCCAATACGTCCCATATCTCACTGAGCGTCCCTATTAAAGAAACTGAAGCAACAATATCAAAGTTGTATGGAAAGAAGCAGTAAGACGCGTAATGTGTTCTGTAACTTAAAAGAAAGTCAGAACCATTCATAACGAGGACACATATACATGCATGGAAATATAAGCACATGTATATGTTGGTCTATATTGATAGCAGGGCTGCACATGGAAAGTAGGAACGGTTTACACTTCCTCGTCAGGCCAAAGAAATAAAAATAGTTCTTAAAAGATGTGAAATGATTACAATGCTGAATATGAACATACTAGCGCCTATAAATGATATATAATGTATATTATAAAATATATTCACCTGTATATCTTCCTCGTCCGCTTACACACATGCAGACAGCATGTACAGCATTGATAATAGCAATAACAATGAGATTAATTTAGATTAATAAAAAAATAATAATTACACTAATAATGATAAAATCACTGATAGTGATAATGATAACGACATTAATAATACTATGACAATGATAATAATAATATGATAAAAGTGATAATAATGCTGATGATAAGGATGATAATAGTAAATATAATGATGAATATCATAATTGTGATAATGAGAATAATGATAATATGTCAAAATAACAATAGTAATAACACCAATAACAATAAAGACAATGATAATGGTAATAAGGATAACATATATATGTATATGTATGTGTATATATATACACATGCATATGAATATATATATATATATATATATATATATATATATATATATA